CAGCTTTCCTGCTTCTCTGATGCTGCCTGGCTTGCTGTGTTCATCCAACTCTATACCTTGTTATCTTAAACTAGCACACAGGTGCAGCAGGTATTTCAGAAGGCTGATGGAATTTTGGCCATTATTTCAAGGGGTTTGGTGTATAAGAGTCTTACTGCACCTTTACAAGTGAGACCACATCTGGACTACTGTGAGCAGTTTTGGTTCCCTCATTTAAGAAAAATACTATTGGAAGCAGTTCAGAGAAGGTTCACTAGGATGATCCCTTATGGAGGGATTGTCTTATGAGCAAAGGCTAAACAGGTTGAGACTTTACTCACTGGAGTTTAGAATGAGAGGTGATCTCATTGAAATATATGGGATTCTTAAGGGGCTTGACAGGGTAAATACTGAGAGGTTGTATCCCCTCATGGGAGGAATTTCTTATCTCAGTGGGTTGTGAGTTTTTGGAACTCCTTGTCACGGAGAGCTGTGAGGCAGAGTCCTTGTGTATATTTCAGGCTGAAATATATAGATAGATAGCTAGATTTTTGATCAGTTGGGGAATCAAGGGCAGGAAAATGGACATGAGGAGTGATGGATCAGCCACAATCCTATTGAATGGCAGAGCAGGCTTGAAGGGCTGAATAGCCTACTCCTGTTCCTTATGGTCTTTCAAAAGGAAATCAAGCGAAAAGTTTTACAGGGTTATGGGGAAGTTGAGACCAATGGGACTAATTCGTATCTTTTAAAGAATGGTACAGCATGATGAGTCAAATACCCTTTTTCTGTGTTGTATCATTCTATGATTCTATATATTTCCTGGCCAATGTTTATCTCTTTTTGAAAATCCCAAAACTAAACCCCACAAATTTTCTGGTCATTATCATATTGCTGTTTGAGGGGGAAATTTAGGTCTCAATAGCTCGCCTTGATATGTATAAAATGGATGCTCTTAAGAAAGCTGTCTGCAATTGACATGGGGATGAGTTTAGGCCAACTGTTCTTCAGAGTCACAATACTAAATTGATGTAAGCTGGCACAGTTTGAGGTTAATTCAAGGCTAGTTGTTAAATGATGTCTGTTTGGATTGGCAACTGCTTTTAAATCCCAACATCCTTGTCTTAGATCAAGCCCATGTTATTAAAGCCAAAGAAAACAGCAAGGAATTACTATCTTTTTCTTTATATATTTTAAATGTGCATGTTGAATGGCTATTTGAAATAACACTCCAGGTAGTCTTGTTGGAATGATTTCCTCTGTGCATTATTTGCAGTAAGGTCATTAGTGGATTTTTATAAACACACTTTTAATTTCACATTACAGAGTGCTCAGAGGAAATCTCCTGCTATTTGGGAGATTGGCAGTAAATTGGCCACATTAGACTATGCATTTGGTGCTGAGCTGACCAGCATCAAAAGTGCAGATTTAGAAGTACGAAAGTCTCTTGGTATAGCACACCACCACTAACTATGTTAAAGATACCAAAGCACTTGATGAGATAACTCATGATAACGAGGGAATATGGGTATAGTTTAGATATTATTTCACATCCAAAGACCTGTATTTCTTGATAGAATCCATTATCACAACGCTACATTTGAACACCTTACTGTTTACTTTTTAGGTTCAAGAGGATCTTCAAGAGCTGAAAGAGAAAATCACAAACATTACAATACATGGGAAAGCAGCAACAGTGGACATTCAAACACTTGAAACAGCCATTCGTAGGACAGAAATGGGCCTAAAGGTCAGTGGGATTAAAGATGTAGGGTGCTTTTGCACGTTAATAAATAAGAATTATTAAACAATTAACTGTAATAATAGACATAAGTTTGGTAAGGTAAACCTGGGCAGGACTTGTACAGTTAATGGTAGGGCCCTGGGGAGTGTTGCCAACAAAGAGACCTTAGGGTGCAGGTGCATAGTTCCTTAAAAGTGGAGTCACAAGTAGACAGGGTGGTGAAGAAGGCATTTGGCATGTTTGCCTTTATTTGGTCAGAACATCGATTGTTGGAGTTTAACTGTTACGTTGCGGCTGTATAGGACATTGATGAGGCCACTTTTAGAATACTGTGTCACTTCTGGTCTCTCTGCTATCGGAAAGATGTTGTTAAACTTGAAAGTGTTCAGAAAAGATTTACAAGGCCGTTGCTGGGATTGGAGGGTATGAGTTATAGGGAGAGGCTAAATAGACTGGGGCTTTTATCCCTGGAGTGTTGGAGTCTGAGGGCTGACCTTTATAGAATCATGAAGGGAATGGATGGGGTGACCAGCCAAGGTCTTTTCCCAGGGTGGGGGCGTCCAAAACTAGAGGGCCATTGGTTCAACGTGAGAGGGGAAAGATTTAAAAGGGACCTAAGGGGCAAATTTGTCACGCAGAGGATGGTGCAAGTATGGAACGAGCTGCGAGAGTACGTGGTGGAGGCAGATACAAATGCAAAATTTAAAAGGTATCTGGATGGGTGCATGAATAGGAAGAATATAGAGGGATATGAGTCAAATATTGGCAAATAGGATTAGATCAGTTTAGGATATCTGTTCGACATGGACGAGTTGGACCGAAGGGTCTGTTTCCATGCTGTATAACTCTATTGCCTTAAATATAAGAGGATGTTTAATAGAGATGTGGAAGGTCATACAGAATAAATATATCGAATAAATAAAGAGAACCTGTTTCAGCGGCTGGAATGTTGACAACAAGAAGGCACAGATTCAAAATCATGGGCAAATAAAGCAGAAGCAACACAAGGATCAACCTTTTTAAGCAATAAGTAGTTAAGATTTGGAATATACTGCCTCATAGGATGACGGATACAGATTCCGTAATAGCTGTCAAAAAGAATATTGGATACATAATTGAAAGTTTAAAAAAATTGCAAAGCTATGTTAAAATAACCAAGAAAGTTGCTTTTTGAAAAAGCCAGTGGAATTAATGGGTTGATTGAGGTTGTAGACTTGCTCGCCAAGCCGGTATATTTGGTTGCAGACGTTTGTCACCCTGCTATGTAACATCATCAGTGCGCCTCCGGTGAAGCATTGGTGTTCTGTTCTGCTTGTTGAAATGCCGTGATTTGCTGGGGTGGTTGGCATTACTCCTGGTTCTGTTTTTCAGTGGTTTGTGTTTCGGGTCCAGTTCAATGTGTTTGTTGATTGAGTTCCCGTTGGAATGCCAGGCTTCCAGGAGTTCCCTGGCATGTCTCTGTTTGGTTTGTGCTATTATGGATGTGTTGTCCCAGTTGAATTCGTGTCCTTCTTTGTCTGTGTGTATTGAGTTGAGTGGCAACATTCTGTGCTGGAAAGAGATAGTAGGAACTGCCGATGCTGGAGAATCTGAGATAACAAGGTGTAGAGCTGGACGAACACAGCAGGCCAAGCAGCATCAGAGGAGGAGGAAAGCTGATGTTTCGGATCGAGACCCTTCTTCAGAAATCTGCTTGGCCTGCTGTGTTCGTCCAGCTGTACACCTTGTTATCTAACATTCTGTGCTGCACCAGTCTCTGATTTTGGAAGTATTTTTAATCAACTTGTTTGGACATGTTATGGCACACCTCTGAGGCAAGTGGGATTTGAACCCAGACCTTTCTGTTCTATGAATTCATATGCTTTGTATTTTTTTCAGACAATTAGTGGCCAGGAACATCTCTGGGAAAGAATAAATAACATGAGGCATTCTTTATGACAGTATATTTGAATTGTTTTAAAATTAGAGGCATGAGTTCTGCTTCCAAGTGAATTATGACACTTATTTTTTACATTTGAGGTTTTCAAAGTTGCACTGCATCCAAACCAGAGCTGGGAGAAGCCAAGTTTTATCTGCATACACAATGTGTAGTCAAAAAAATGGTGACAGCTGAAGGGCTTACCATCTCCCCCTGCTGGTTTGACAAGGAATTAAAATGTATAATTAATGATCAAAACAATTTGATTGAGAAAAACAGATTAGTTACAATGTGTTCACAGTTTTGTAAAAATGTCGGTTTGTACAGGATCAAAACGACATTTTCTATGTGCTTATTACACATTTGCAGAGCTAAACAGTGGTGCAGTGGAGCTGAAATTGTTACTTTGTCCTTGAAATTAGGTGGAAAGTGCCCCCATGACCGGTGCCTAAAGATGATTCTGTAAAAGAATGTTACTATTGCAGAAACAAAATTAATTTAAATAATACTACCACATTTATGAATTTGTAAAACGAAAATGAAATGCATGTTAAGACTACTTTATAGGTTGCTGTACAATTGTACGCATCAACCTCAAACCAGGGGAAAGATTTGATCTGCATGCCATGGGTAGTGACATTGTAAATGTTTTTGAAAAGATCACAAAGGCGCACTTTCTGTCAGAAGACCACAAATTTGATTACAGGAGGTGGTACAAGTGATGTAGTAAGCTGCAGCACTCTTGTGTTAGGAGCTAAAAAAATTGCAACTTCTGAAATCCAGTGACATCTGCTGCAGCTGAAAATAGGACTGAGCTGTTGCCCCCTCCCCCACACTATCACCATCCCAACACCAATTGCTGATGAGCTCTCAAACACTTGCTGTCTGAGCTCACATGTGAAGAATGACCACTTACTTGGGCAAAATGCCATGAAAACACATCTTAGTATGGGGTAGCACCTTCAGGAGAGGCAAGTATCAAATTATAGGTGAAGAAGAAAGTTGTTTTATAAATACTGGACCTATGAATTCTACATTAATGACACATTATTTTCTTCCTCACTTAGTGCAAGATGAATGCATGATAATGACTCATTTGTGACTTATCTAGTAAACTACAGTTTAAATATATTTCTGAAGCATGCATAATAACAGGACTACTGAGATCACAATGCCTATCATTTACATTCCCTTTTGGAAAATTATGGTTCTTATTCTTTTTTGTAAATAGTGACACACTATTTTTCTACAGTGAGAGGATCACAGCAACCTTCCGCAGTCTTCAAATCAACATTCTTTCAAAGGAACTTTTAACTGCAGTTAAAATTGCTTTCATTTGATTGAGAACTGTGATAGCGTGTGCGTACGTTTCCTCTCTATAATGTAGTTGTATAAATTACATTCTTAAACCAGTCAAACAACAGCTAATTTATAATTCATAGCATAGAATCTGGCCTCTTCGTTCCCAGAGCTCCTAACCCTAACCCTAAGCCAAGGATAACAAGGGAAAAAAAAGCTATCACGCAAGGGCCTTGCTATTGATCATTACTCAGTAATTGATATTGAAAAGTGTATCTCATCCAAAATAAGTATTTTCATCCTTGTTCTCAAGTCCATCCATGACCTTCTTATCTTGCTAACATCCTCCAGTTTATAACCTCTGTGATCTCTGAAGTCCTTCATTTGTGGTCTCTTGTGCGCTCATCGTCTTCAGCTGCCTAAGCACTCAAATTCACTGCCTAAGCCTGTCCACCTTTCCACATCTATCTTCTCCATTAAGATGCTTCTTAAAACCTACTTCTTTTTGACTTCATCTGCTCTAATATCGTCTTATACCAAATTTAATTTGCTAACACTTGTGAAACACTTTGGGGCATTTTACGACACTAAAGATGCTATATTTTAAAGTAAGTTGGTGGTGCGTTAATGCCAAGTGAGCTGAGGATCAAGCAGGCTGTCCATTTGCTGCAATACCATGGCAGCACTTGATATCAAGACACATATGACAACTGGCCACTTGCTTGAGGTACTGAGGCCCATAACATAACTAGGCACCTTTCTGAAAGAAGAGGAGAAATATATAGTAAATCTAATAGATGGATCATGAATCAAATCTTCATGTTATACTGTTTAAACTATTTTAAGAATGCCTCAATTTTTGGGGTATGATAGATATAGAAGACTCCTGGGGGGAAAGACATTCACAAATATTTTCTAAGCTTTGTTTTACAAATTTAAATGGTCTTTAATAAGACATTTCGATCCACAGTTCCAAAGATTGTACTGTAGCAGTAGCCTGATTTTCCCATATTTGTGTCAAAATTGTTAATTATTGAATCAAATAGAGTAGCACATAACAAGTTTTAGCATAATGAAACACCGTTTTCTTAACATGTTGATGCAATTATTGTGAGTTGGCTTACACAGTGTTCTACAGTAGCGTGCATTGTTTTAATTAGCCTGTTGGCATGGTTGCCGATTCTAATATGGCGCTATTATATAGTTCAGGATCGGGGTGGTTTGTTTACGGTGCTAAGTAAGAGATAAGAAATAATATGAAGTGCCAGTAATGATTAAGTGTTATAAAAGCTTGTATTTCAAAATACAAACAAAACAACATTGAATACTGATGTAAGTGTTCTGCAGTTTTATTTCTACACTAAACATATTAATTTTAGTTATGTTAACTGTGTTTTGAACTTGGTAAGAACCACACTTGGAGTACAATCTGCTGTCCCTTTTATGAAAAGGATATAGAGGCATGGAAACAACATAAAATCAGATTTAGTGGAATGATACCAAAACTGAGAGCCTATACCAACCAAGAAAAATAGAATAGGTTGACTGTTTTTCTCCAGCAGAGAGCAAACTGAGGGGTTATCTAATCAAGATCTTCAAGATGATCTTCAAGATCATCTGGTAGGATGGCGACAAGAGAAGATATTTTTACCTGCAAGTGTAACCAGACTGAAGACCATAAATATAAGATGACCACTAATATTTAGGAGAAATGTCCTTACCTCAAGAGTGGTTAGAATGTAGAGCTAGCAACCAAACAGAGTAGTTGAGGTGAAGATTATGGAACTGTTTAAGGGGAAGCTTGCTAAGTATGTTAGGGAGAAAAGAATAGAAGATTATCTGATGGGTTAGATGAAGCTAGAAGTGTGGGAGGAAATCCATATGGAGCAAAAGTGTCAACAAAACTCTGTACCTGTTTCTTTGGAAAATACATTATAATATTTCACAACAGGACAGTTCTTAGCATTGTCAATGACTCATTGAAAGCAGATTCACAGCAATGATAACCTGTATTGGATCATATTGTAACTATGCAGTATATTGGTAGGAATCCACTTTTTGATGTGTCTGAGATTGGAAGTTCTGTGCAAAAAATCATTATAGCAAAACTATGTACCACAGACCACAGATTGTAGAATTACAAATCTGTGCTAAAATCTGCTGCTTTGGCTATATGTTGACATATATTGACCCATGCATTGTAGTGTATGGCACCACCAGAATAAAAGAACATTATTGTGATTTCGCAATCATTCAGTTCCTAGACTTAGCTGCACTGCATTGCAAAAATATTAAGTAGAAGTTAGGTACCTCCCACCTTGTAAAAGAGAATGATTAGACATCCAGTCATCCCTACCCCACTGCCAGATCCCTTCCAGAAATGAGGGACTGTAGAAGGAGATGAACAGCTTGACCTTTTGGCCTCGGGTAGTGGCGATTCAGTGACAACTGGGAGGGAAAGTACAGTGAACAAAAAGCTTACAATGTAAAAATATTGGGACAGCATTGAGCTTTCCTCTCATTAAGTTTACCTTACTGACCTGCCTTGCACACCCACTAAACCCTTTTTTCAGTTCATCAGATACTGGGGAAATACATCCCAAGTCTTCATTTCTTAAAATTCTGTTTGACATATTTAACCATAAATCTCACTGTCTCTTGCACTCTTCAATCTGAGTGATGGCTCGAGGTTTTGCCCATTCAGCTTTGCGTTAGGCAGTTCAGTTAGTTAGAATCTTAAAATAATAGGCCATTTCATTGACATTTCACATGGAGAGTCAAGACTCTGTTTAATCTAAAATGAAATGAGATGAGAGGATAGGATAATAGTGCACCAAAAAAACAAGTGTATTTCAGTTCACATTTCCAAATCATTCACTGCATCCCTTTTAATTTCCATGATAAATTCCCATGTCCACATAACTGTAGAAATAAAAGAAGCTTGCCTGGTGATAACACTTGCTTTGCTGCACAGTGGTTAGCACTGCTGCCTCACAGCGCCAGGAACCCAGGTTCAATTCCACCCTCGGGCAACTGTCTGTGTGGAGAATTGCACAATCTCCCTGTGTCTGCATGGGCTTTCTCCAGGTGTTCCGGTTTCCTCCCATCATCTAAAACTGCAGGTTAGGTGGGTTGGCCATGAAAAATTGTCCCTAGTGTCCAGGGATGTGCAGGTTAGGTGGATTAGCCATGAGAAATGCAGGGTTACAGACTTAGAATAGTGGTGTGGGTCTGAGTGGGATGCTCTTTGGTTGTTCAGTGTGGACTCGATGGGCTGAATGGCCTGCATACCCACTGTAGGGATTCTATTATCTGCAGTGCTTCTGGTGGGAAGAAGGTGCATTTATAGAAAAGTAATTTTATGTAAATAATTTCCATTGTACCTGTAGGCATAAAAACTGTCGAAATGCACACTGGCAAAAGATTTAGATTATGTAAACTGAATCTGAAACATGTACCATTTTAAACTAAGGTGATGTTTTTCAGTAAAGCAGACAACATGAAGCCATTCATCTCGGATGGTTATAGTGTGATGCTCAATGGTGCCAGCGGTGTGGGTTAAGCCCCTATCCTGGTGGAGATATATTTTTTGGGGCCAGCTACCTCTTTTTGCTCCAATATGATATTGTGGAGTCATAGAAAGCCTGCTAGCAATACAGATGTGTGGAGATCTGTAAATAGTAAAATTTGGGCCATGGAAGACACAATATGCAGAGAGAAAATAAACATTAGAATTCAAAGCTCAATCCCATAATCAGTCTTTTCCCTGTCTAATCTTTTGGCTATTATTTGGAATTGACTGGAAAAGAACAGGGCTTTTTATATTGGTGACCTCAGCCTTTTGTGAATCAAAGAAAACCATCAGAATCTAGTTTTGCAATTAAAAGAAACGAGAATGTGTACCTAGTACTTTCATCATTGCTTCATCGATGCCAGCATCTCTCACAGTGAATAGTATAAATCTATTATCAGTGACCCATGCAAATCAAAACAGACTTGATTTGAAAGTAAATTTATGAAGTTTGCCTCAGTTGCCACTTACTGAACAAAGTTTGTTATGTTGCAGAGTCATGCAGCAGAATACTTGAATGTAATCAATAACCAAGTGTTGACCCTTCCTGCTGTGGAATACAGAGATATGTCAGTTGCACACCCTTTACCTGCGTAAGTACTGTGAATCACGTTGTTAATCCCAGCCCAACTCATTGTCTTTAAATGCCTAAATAGTGACAGTGTTATTCATTATTGAAAATCCTTTCCACACTTCATTGTGGAAAAAAAATGAACAGGTAATATTCTGGAAATAGTAACAGGTCAGGTGCAACTGTAGAGAAAAACAGTGTGGACATTTCAGTCCAATGACCTCTCATCAGAATTGAAGAGAGATAAAAATGTGATGTTTTTATGTCAGACTTCCTAATGTGCGGTATTTTGCTTTTGTTGTAGAGATAGATATGTAATGGGTTTTTAATTCAGATTTCCAGCATCTACAGTATTTTATTTTTGTATTAGTGGGTAAAACTCTGGCCTGGCATAACCTATGGAGAGGCATACAAAGTTTAGTCTCCCTACCTCATGGACCACCTTGTGACGCCATCAATCAGAGCATTTCCATGCGTCCCAGAGAGACACCATTGGAACTAACAGAAGCCAGGTTACAGGACTGACTTGAGAACTAAACAATTCCTGTTTTTCTTTAGAAAATGGATGAGTACTTTGAACGAGAATTCACTACTTCCTTTAGTCTCAAATTCCTTTTAAAACAAGACATTACTTATCACTGAAATTATGTTCTGATGAAAACTCTTTGACCTGAAATGTTAATTCTATATCTTTTCTCCAAAGATGCTACTCAACTTCCTGAGTGTTTCTAGCATTTGTTTGTTTTTGTTTGAGATTTCCAGCATCTGCAGTATTTTATTTTTTGTTACATGAAGGTGTCAGCTTGTTTTGGGCAGATAATGCACGTTGAAACATAATGATGTTGAGGAGGTGGGAGTTTGAGAATATAGTTAAAGTAAAAGTATTGTCTCAATGGCTAAGGTGTCAAGGAAGGTCCCATTCATGGAATTTTTACTGATCTTGTTAAGTGATATCTTTTCTGGGTTAACAAGGTGTAGAGCTGGATGAACACAGCAGGCCAAGCAGCGTCAGAGGAGCAGGAAAGCTGACGTTTCGGGCCTAGACCCTTCTGGATGGTTGTTGGCTCCAAGATAAGCAAAAACATACCATAGATTAACTGATTGTTATACAGTGGTTATTGATGGCAGCTAAGCATGTGTGGGCCTCAGGGAATGATAGGATCAGATTTCACCTTTGATGCCCTACCCACCCTTGTGTTTGAATAGTCTGTTAGTAATTATTGTTGGGACTTACATGAGTAAAATAGTGACTTGTGTGAAGATTATTATCTTCAATAAATCCAATGTCAATGACTGAAGGAGAGAAGAAGAAAAAAAAAGAGAAAAAGAAAAAAGTAGAAATTTTTAAAGTTGGAAAAGCTTCAAAAATTCAAAATTATAAAGTAAAAAACATAAATGCGCACTTTCAGAGGTCCATGTATTAAATGGAGCCTGCAGACCCTAGTGCTTGATTGTTCACCCACATCATTCATGATGCTAGAATGAAATACTTCATTGTATAAAGTATTCCTTACCTCAAAAAAAAATTTATAATGAATCAGTGCTTTTCTACTTTATTTTCATTTAGTCCTGTTTCACTGAGTATCAATAAAATAATCAAGAAACCTGTTGTCTACCCATCTTTGAACAAAAAGCACCATGGTATCCAGCTATGGAATGCACCTGAACATATCTCACCTGGAACACAAGTAAGTTCATTATCTATCATGTTCTTACTGGTTAGATTTTATATGAATATATTAAAAAACCTGCAAGTTTTCCATCGTTTTTTTCCCCCAAGAGTAGCGTTAAGTTAAAAATCACTGTCCCCTCTTACAGATTATTAGGTAATTAGATGTTCGTGAATACTAAACATGAATCCACCCTTTAGGGTCATGCACTACAGCTGATGGGGGTAGAAATAAAGAGATTTAAGTATTTATTGCATGGATCTGTAGAATTTTTTGACCAACACTATTCAGCAATAGCTAGAGCCAAAAGAGTGCCGAGGTGTACGTAAAGGACAACACAAGACAAAGCATGCTATTTTGTCTTTGTACAAGATCTTGCTTCAGTTCAAACACTTTGGGTGCCTACATGGTGGAAGATTGTGAAATATTTGTAAAGGAAGCTTTGGCTGGAGGCAGAGCCATAATACTGTAGTGTCAATCCTTTGACCCACACTCACTTTGAACATGGCTTGGGGCAAGGCATCAATGATTTATTATAGTGAGAAGGTGATTGGATTAGGTTTCTCTCCAAAAAACATTGACGTTATGATTGTTCTTGTTCCTCAAAAAATGTGCATCCTACAACAAATATGTGAAAATTGACTTGAAAATGTTTTCTGTATAAGTAAATAACTTTCAATAACATTTCACTGACCAATAAACTGTTTACTGATTATCAATTTAGAATCCATTCGACCACTTGCCTCTGATATCATTACAGCCTTGGTCAAATTCCAGCAATGAAATGTGTGTGACTGTCCTTGAAACCAAGGTTGTGTTTTAATGAGAGTGGCGCCAAGCGTTTGTCAACATTGTAGTCACTATGGATGAGGAGGACTACACTTCAGTTACTGGAAGCATACCTGACTCAAAAGTTTTAGTTGTTACAGACCAATTATCCCAGCTCTAGGACACTGCTGCAGGAGTATCTCAAGGCAGTTCCCCAGACTGAGTTAACTTCAGATGTATAATCAGTGACCTTCTCATTCATCACTAAGTTAGAAACAAGGTTGTAAGCTGCTGATTTCACAATGTTGAACAATGTTTGTAAATCCTCAGATAATGAAATACAGTATGTGCAAATACAGAAGTCTGAACAACATCCACGCTTGGAACATTCATGCCAGCAAGTGCCAGGCAATGACTGTCTCTAATAAGAGAGTGTCTAACCGTTTCTTTAAAATACTGAAAGTCCCCAAGTGGCAATGTCCTTGGAGCCATCACTGACCAAAATCTTAACTGGACTAGTATCATCAATGCTACAATTATTGGAGCAAGTCAAAGGCTGGGTATTTTGCTTTTTGAGAGCAGCTACAGATTGTTAAATAAATTCTGACCTTACCATTGTTGCCCTAATTCCAAGGAAGAATTTTAAAATAAATCTCATTTCAGTTCTTAAAAATAATAACATATGCTAGACTGTAAGATTAGAGCCACTCAATTCCTTCAGGTATCTCATCATTCTTCAGATGTGTAACAGGCAATTAGCATAATCACTTTATTCAACAAATGCTCCAATGTCTAAGTTCTATGTTCTAAGTCGGTGGTTTTTACTGATCTCAAGCCTGGGTAACAGTTGAATCAAGGATGAGGTCAAAATCAAGCTTGGGTGTGATGTTCAGTTTCAAGTATCCCATCACGGTCATGATGTAAGCAACACATGAGAAATGACAGCTTGGTGTGAGAATGAAGCATTGCTAATGAATCCATAACTTTAGAAGAGGAGAGAAAATTAAGATGAAAAGGTAAACTAAGCATGCCATTCTATTTTACAGAAGAGTTAAAGTCATTCTGTCTGTGCAGGCCTGAAACGATTTGCATTAATTTTAGCTGCAGTGCCATTATATTTATGTCTGTGCAGTATGAAGACCAACAATAACATTAATTGCTCATTTCGACAAGTGAAAAAAAGCTGTTCAGAGATATTTCTGAAAACTCGGATGAGCAGAATCTATATTAAAGTGACTGATTTTGCTCAATTGTATTAAACATCAAACCTACACATCTACATATTACTGCACAGTTTTAGCTACTTACGTACTTGAAAATGCAATAAGAAAAATTGAATTTCCCATCTGAACCAGTCATTTATAGCTTATTAGCATATGTTAGTGTTCACAGACTCTAAAAGGCTTTAGGTTGTTTTACCAGCACGAAATTACATCATTTGGCAGCAATAGGAAACAAGTCATATTTTTGCCCCCAAGCTATTAGTTTATTTCATAACACACATCTGAAACAAGGTTGGAGTGAAAATGTAATCATGCTACCTTATTGTACTGTAAATACAGGACTGTGCAGTCATGTATGGTGGAATTTGATTCCTTATATATTCACCAAAGGAAGGTTTGGTGTGATAGATTAGTGCACTTTGTTACAATAATAGAAAGAAAGGACTGTAATTTCATGTTCATTCTGGTGTTGTTTGAAGGTGTTTATGTTTATGTGTGCATAGAGAGAGCTCATTTATGTTTCTGTTTGCTGGTACATGTGCTTCTTTGTCTTTTCATTCAAGGTCATTCCTTTGCTGATCCTCCAGGGTGAGTGCAATGCACTCCCCTTTGCTGACCTCTTCCATATTTGCCTTAGCCAGTTAGCAGGGAGTTCATGTTTGCAGAGCATTGAGGAGCTTGTTTGATTTACCTTCCCTCTTAGCCTCTGTTGAGCACATCCAACATCGGTATGGTTTGGGCCAGAAATGCTGACTTTCATTTGCATAGTGTCTTACAAATGATCAATGTCCTAAGGAGCTACCCACAACGGGTAATTAAGAAATCAAATGGAATTTTGTCCTTCATTGCTGGAAGTATTGAGTTTAAAAGCAGGGTGGCTATGTTGCAGCTGTATAGGATGCTGGTGAGGCCATACCTGGAGTATTGCATGCAGTTTTGGTCTCCTTGCTTGAGAAATGATGTACTGGCACTGGAGGGGATGCAGAGGAGATTCACTAGGTTGAGTCCAGAGTTAGGAGGGTTGGCTTATGAGGAAATGCTGAATAGACTGGGATTATATTCATTGGAATTTAGAAGAATGAGGTGGGGAATCTTATAGAAACATATAAAATTATGAAGGAAATAGATAAGATAGAAACAGGGAGGTTGTTTCCACTGGCGGGTGAAACTAGAACAAGAGGGTATAGCCTCAAAATTAGGGGGAGCAAATTTAGGGCTGAATTGAGGAGGAACTTCTTCATCCAAAGGGTTGTGAATCTGTGGAATTCTCTGCTCAGTGAAGTAGTTGAGGCTTCCTCATTGAATGTTTTTAAAGCTAAGATAGATACTTTTTTGAAGCATAAAGGAATTAAGAGTTGTGGTGGGAAGGTGGGTAAGTGAAACTGACGCCATGAAAAGATTAGCCATGATCTTATTGAATGGCGGAGCAGGCTCGAAGGGCCAGATGGCCACTCCTGCGCCTGGTTCTTATGTTCTATGTTCTATGATCTACAAAAGGAATACTAGCAGATGTCAAATTGGAATAGGTAAGATATTAAAGAAAATGGATAAAAGCATTTAGGTTTCAAGTGGTCTTTTGATGAGACAGAGAGCAAAGAGATGGCATATTGATAAGGTGTGACAAGAAAATTCTAGAGTGTGCGGGATGTGGTGGCCAATGCTTTGCAGTCATTAATAAATGGTAGACTAGCATATGGGGGTTGAGCAATGATAGAATCCTTACAGTGTGGAAACAAGCCCTTCAGCCCAACAAGTCCACACCGACCCACAGAATATCCCACCTAGACCCATCCCCCTATAACCCACCTAATCTACACATCCCTGAACACTACAGGCAATTTAGCATGGCCAATCCACCTAGCCTGCACCTCTTTGGACTGTGGGAGGAAACCATACCACCTGGAGGAAACCCCCTCAGACACGGGGAGAATGTGCAAACTCCACACACAGTCACCCAAGGGTGGAATCAAACCCGGGTCCCTGGCGCTGTGAGGCAGCAGTACTAACCACTGAGCCACTATGCCGCCCTAGAACATCTCCCTACATTTACAGCAACAAGCGACATGATAAACTGAACTAAGTTAGTTAATTTCAATTTTCTACTTTTCTCAGCATGCAGCACTATTCAGTTCCTTATGCCACCATACCCCACAAGAATTAAAAATATTTCCATTGTCCTTTTCTGCATAGCTGTCTGGTATAAATGTAGTTAATCAAATAATCATTAATTCTTGCATGCAAGCCAGGTTACACTATCTGCACATTGTGGTATTTTGACTTCTTAAATTAAGACTGCATCACATTGGGAGAAGTAATTTTCTCACCTGAGGCAGTCTGATGCCAAATGGAGGAAAAATGAGTATTAACACATTACATACAAGAATTAGAAAATTGATCAGTCATGTTGAAAGCTTTATGCATAAGGAAAGACTGTAGAAACCAATGTTTTTGCACCTTGATAGGGACGTAACTTGACAGTGATCTTGTAGATCACTGGTAGCAAATAGTAAGGAATGGCAAATCTGGAAGAAAAATTCATTGAAATTTCAATAGTATGACAAATTTCGCAACAGCAAGTTAGTAAAGTACAAAATTTGGACTGATTTGAGGAAGTTCTTCTTCAGACTTAATAGGGATTAGTGCATGCAATGGGCTCCTAGAAAGAGTGGCAAAGGTATAATCCCTGGAATCATTTAACAATTGATTAGATGTTGCAGTGAGTTCCATTGGGATGGGCAGCCCAAAGAGCTGCAATGAACTTGTGATCATTCCAGCCTCATCTTGCACATTTCCAAATGACTGATCTAAGCAGAATGGATTATCTGCCTACCATACAAGTAGGGAATGGAACAATCAAACCAGTGTACATGTACAGGTTAGCATAGAAACATAGAAAACAAGAGCAGGAGAAAGCCATTCGGCTGTTTGAGCCTGCTCAGCCATTCAATATGATCACGGCTGACCATCCAACCAGTACTCTGTTCCTGCTTTGTCCTCAGACCCTCTAATTCCTTTAGTCCTAAGAACTATTTCTATTTCCTTTTTTAAAACATTCAGTGTTTTGGCCTCAACCGCTTTCTGTGGCAGAGCATTCAACAGGCTCACCTGGCTGGTGTGCATGAGATAACATTTCTGAATACATCTCACTTGTGCCTGCCTAAAGGCAACAACAGCAGGTATCAAAGCAACCAAAAGGATGTTTGATGAAGATAGAAGTGGCAAGCTGCAATATCAATAGCAAGATTTTTTAAAATGTCATGTTAGTAGTCAGTTGGGACCTGGATGAGCACCGAAGAATTTTCTGGGACAAATTCAGGTGAATTCCAATGATATGATTAGTCCCACTTCCAATACATGAGCACATGATTCAGGATGACACTTCAGTACAATACTGAGGGAGTGTTTTACTGTTGGAGATTTCATCTTTTAGATGAAAGATTAAATCGTTAGCCCCATCTGCTCTTTCAAGTGGATATAAAAGATCCCATGGCACATTTTGAGGACAAGCTGGGGAGTTCTCCTGTCCTGACCAATATGCATCCCTCAACAAACATCTAAAATAGATGTTCTGGTCACTTACTTAGTTGCTGTTCGTGGATGCTGTCTCTGCACAAATTGGCTGCTACATTATCTACATTCCAATAGTCACTGCACCACAAAAAGTGTGTAATTGATTGTTAAGTGATTTGAGTGTCCTAGGGTCTGACAGTTATGGTTATACATATAAGTCTTTCTTTTACATTACTACTGTGAAATCTGCCTTCACTACAGAAGACAATACAGACTTTCCAGTAAAATATCATACAATTGGCATTAAAGTTTAGAGTATCAAGTGAATGCGGATATAGTTCTGGCTAGAATGAGAGTAGGGGTATCAAAATTGTTTTAGCTGTTGGTTCTGACAATGTTCACTTGGGAGCTCACAGAAGTAGAAACTGAGCTCAGCAAGCTTTTTTTATTAAACATTTACTCGCTCACTAGTGCTTGGAATTGTTTTCATGGACTGGAAGATGATCCATGTGGTGCCAATATTCAAAAAGGGCAAAAGTCAGAACTGGAGAATTGCAGGCCCATTAGTTTAACCACCATTGGAGGCAAGTTGCTGGAAGGGATCATTAGAAATACACGGTATGACCGCCTTGATAGTGAAGAGGGTACTCAAAACTGCTTCAAGACACGAGCTCTGTAAAATGTGTTTGCATGTCACCAACCTCATTGAATTTTTTTGAGGAAGTTGATAGATGTATATGATCTATTTGATGTTGTATAATCTTAATTGTCAATAAAGTGCCTCATAATAGGCTTCTTAATGAAATAGAGACCTGTGGAATTAGCAGCTGGAATTGGAGTTGCATGAGTTGGTTGCATCCTGGTATTATAAAAGGTTGTTATTATTAGCAATAATTCTGCTTGGGGAACAGTTGTTAGTGGAGTGCCACAGGCGCTCCATTTGAACTGCTGCTGTTTACTATTTTTATCAATGATCTGCATGATCATTGGGCAAATTGTCTACAAGTTTCAGTTGTTGTAAAAATGCATATGGATATTATAACCTTAGATAAGAAAAATAGATTACAACAGATCTAAATACATGGGGGAGGGGAATGGGATGGCATTGGATAAATGTAATCTTATCATAGGGTTGGTACAAGGACGAGGTACGTATACATTCTCAGGGTTACAAACATAAGGTTGTTGAGTGAGATGAGTGACTAAGATATGCGTGAAAACCTAAAGGATCTTGACCAATGCTGCAAGGCTGTTGCAGCAGCAAATAGATTGTTGGCTTCTATTGCTGGGTAATTGATTGCAAAACAAATAATTCCAGGGAGATTAATGCACAAGCAGCAACCATGTCTTTTATGACCTTTGGAATTCTAATGCACCTTACAGGCAACTAAGCAGTTTTAGAAACATAGGAGCAGGCCATTCAGTCTCTTGAGCCTGAACTGCCATTCTAGATAACATCTGATTATCTATCTCAGTGCCATTTCCCCGTGTTATTCCAATATATTGAAGTCTATTTACTATTGTAATATGAGAAAGACTAAGAGAGCTGGGCCTTTTCATAGTGGAAAAATAGATTTTAAGGAATTTTTAAAGTAATGGAAGGATTGGTTTTTGTCCATGAACTTTGTGATAGGCTATAGGCTACTTTCAGAAGTGTAGGAAACCTTCAGAACTGCAATTGATTTATTATTGCTGTTCATTGGTATTAAGACCTACAAAATCGTGGTGGATAGATGAAGTTGTGCTGCAGATTAGCTATGATCCAAATGAAGGCCCAAATGGCCTATCCCTGTCTCTAAGTTCCTATTGGGGTATGAAAGGTTAGGAGGAACGGAGGTGTGTATATAAGTTAAATAAGTGTAGAGCTAGAATAGATGTCAAATGTTTTTTCTCACAGTGAGTCTTCAACCTGTGTTTAACAATAAAGTTGCTGGCTTGTGCAGTGAATACTGATTCACTGCAGTTGTTTGAAAGGGTTCTGAACAAGTTATAAGCTAGGGCTGACTCCACTCTCTATAACAGATCAGAGGAGTATTGGGGAATTTGTCTCTCAGCCACCAGGCTTTCCTGAAGCATCTGTGATCAGTTTAGGATTCTAAGAGAAATGTCAGTGAGCTTATTATGCCTTAAATTTAAGCAAGGTTTTACATTTGTTTTGCTTCTGTTTGGAAATTGTACAGTGAGGATGACAATTAGAGTCATGGTGTGCAGAACTTGCACTATTTCCTTAGGGGGAAAGGCTTGATGGATCAGCTGACCTTTTCCTGTCCATTTTATATCAGTTTGTGTGACGTATTGTGAACGTAGATGGAAAAGTAAAATGGCATAGGACAAGAGATAGAAATGATTGCTTTCCAAGAGAAAAAAAATCTGTATTCATATCTATACTTTTATATCCTAACAATTGTTCGATTATTGAGAAGAAAGCAATCTTTTTTCGCTCAACCACATTTGTAAAAATGAACTAATCTAATTTTTCAACAGCACAAGCATGCCATGGATATGAGGATTTTGCGTGATCCCACCAATCCAAAGAACAGAAATCTTTTACATCAGAACTATGGGATTCAGCTTCCTCTTATTAAGAATGAAATACCTGATGTAAGTACAGTAATTCCTTTCCTTGTGTTATTTGAAAATGATGTAAAAGTTGTCAGTAATTTGAGCGTGCCAATTCATAGGTTTTTTTGGGCTTGAGTTATCTTCTGTTGACTTCCAAGAACATTAAACAATGGGTTGAAATTTAACCTTTTCTTTAAGAGGTGTGTCTAAAGAAAAAGGTATGTTCAAACTAATGGCCACAGCTCCTTTCTAGTACAGAATGCATTTTTTTATTAGATTGGATGGGTGGGATCAGCGTTCAGAATTCGTTATACTAGTGAATTAACCAGTTGCAGTTCTGATGATGGAATTAGCATCAGTAACTTATATTAGTCAAATAAAAATTATCCTATGTTCTTGTTTTCATCATTATACCATGCAATCTCTTGGATAAGGTCTCAAGTTGCAGTGTCCCAGTTTGTGGTTGATAAAGATCCATTAAAGCCATTAAAGAAGATTAGTAAACTTGCTAGTGTCTTGTCAACAATGGTCCCTCAGCCCATAGAACTACATTAAATTTTACTCAAAAAGCCTATGTCAGTGCTTGAACTTCACTAAAAATAAATTGAATTGATCGTCTGAGTCCTGTCGGTGAAATCTTGTTGCAGACAAGACATAATAATTACTGAACTTCAAGGTAATTCTTTTGAAGCATTTTGAGATGTTTCTGAGAAAAAGACCAGGCTACTTTTTCTTTTTAATCAAGGCTGTCTCCTTGAAGCATAACTAATGTTCTCACATGGCATAAATGTACCTTTTATATTTCCACTGCTATCCTTGTGATTAATGATTATGATTAATTATGGGAGTAAATACTTGTAATAATGAGCAACTATGGTTAAAGTCTGTTTGGTATACTTGTAGAAGTCCAATTATTTCAAGGAAATAGCTAGCACACTGGATCTATTTGCTGGGTGCATCAGCACGATGTGATCTTTTGTATGATTACTTTTGAAACAAGATTGAATAGGATAAAGGAAGAAATGCCTTGCCATACGCACAATGTCTCTCAATTGCACATTCTCTGTTACAATCTGTGTTGTCTTTCTGTTTTTGGTCGATAAAATTATAGTGCTATACTGAATTTTATTCTTGTATAATGAAAGTAACGGAGAACGCAAGATAATAAGTAGTTTGGTAATGTGAAGCTTTAATTTCATAAGCCTATGGTGTGTAGGAAGGTATGTTTGCAAGGGAAAAGATAAAAATTGGCAGTATCTCTGCTACTGTTCCAAACCTTGAATACTTGAACCTCACCAGCCATTATTGCATTGTGGGTTGCTTTGTGCTTAGGCCCTGAGAATGCAACTTTGGAGAAACACTAATATTGGATTCTCAATGTACAAATTATATATGGTTCCTTTAGTGGAGTGGGTGAGTTGGGAATAAATACTTGTCCATGTCTTTTGGATACAATATTAATAATACTTCAATTTTCACAGCACAGTACCATATCACATCTTTAAAACGTGTGGCACATAATAAATTGTTTTTGGAATGAATGAATTGTTCTTATGTAGAAAAATTTGAGCATCATTCTGGGCTTGATTTCAGCAAAGCCATGGAGAAGTTTTAGTTTAATGATGGCATCTGCAACGAGGATGAAAGTCACTTGTTTTCAGGCTGTTACTCGACAGATTCTTGGCAACTAAAGCAAACTTTGGCAACTTAATGCATGTAGCTCAATAAATGAAAAATGGTATTGTAAGGAAAGAAAATGAAGCTTCTAGTAACTAGAAAATCAGGAAATCCAAAATGTTTTCTACAAAATCCTATGCATACATAAGCTAGTTTGGATTCCAACTAATTTGTTTCAGCTTAGATCACAAACGTTTAGTTTCGGGCATTCAGTTAGACACATAAAGTCATAGAGATATACAGCACGAGAACAAACCCTTCGGTCCAACTGATCCATCCTGACTAAATTTCTGAAATAAATCTTGTTTCATTTACCAGCATTTGGCCCATTTCCCTCTTAAACCCTTCCTATTCATATATCCATCCAGATGCCTTTACAATGTTGTAATTGTACCAGTATCCACCACTTCCTCTGGCAGCTCATTCCATACGCACACCACCCTCTGGATGAAAAAGTTGCCCCTTAGATCCCTTTTAAATCTTTCCCCTTTCACCTTAAACCTATGCCATCTAGTTTGGGCTCCCCCACCCTGGGGAAAAGACCTTGTCTATTTATCCTATCCATGTCCCTCATGATTTTATAAACCTCTATAAGGTCACCCCATAGGCTCCGATGCTCCAGGGAAAATAGCCCCAGTCTATTTAGCCTCTCCCTACAGTTCAAACCCTCCAAACCTGGCAACACCCTTGTAAATCTTTTCTGAACCCTTTTGAGTTTCACAACATCCTTCCTATAGCAGGAAGACCAGAATTGCACGCTGTATTCCAACAGTGTCCTGTCCAATGTCTTGTACAGCCTCAACATGACCCTCAGCTCCTATACTCAAAGCACTGACGAATAAAGACAATCATACCAAACACCACCTTCACTATCCTATCTACCTGCAACTCCACTTGAAGGAACTATGAACTTGCACTCCAAGGTCTTTTTGTTCAGCAACACTCCCCAGGACCTTACCGTTAAGTGTATGTGTCCTGCCCTGATTTGCCTTTCCAAAATGCAGCACCTCACATTTATCTAAATTAAACCTCATCTGCCACTCCTCAGCCTATTGGCCCATCTGATCAAAATTCCGTTGTACTCTCAGGTAACCTTCTTTGCTGTTCACTACACCTCCAATTTTAGTGTTATCTGCATACTTCTTATGTTCACATCGAAATCATTTATATAAATGACGAAAAGCAGTGGACCCAGCACCAATCCTTGTGGCACACTGCCGGTCACAAGCTTCCAGTCTGAAAAGCAACCCACTCAAAACAGAATTGTACATAAAATAACAATCCATGGGAAGAAATATTCCGGTTGCTTTGTCTGGCAATATTGTGATTGTATTCCTGAAGACGACTCTGCATTGTACTTCGATCAAAAATAAATATTGATCAGAGAGGAAATCTTCATTGTCACATTTTTTGTTGGTACCCTGAAGATGATATTGCTGGAGTGGCATTGTTCCTGTACAAATACTTAACATATTTGTCTTAAAAAGAATGGGTTGATGACCATTGTTAAAAGATGTGTACAAAGAAATTTAACACAAGTCTATTAAACGGGAACTGCATCAATGGAGAAAATAGATGGTCTGGTGAAAAGAGAAAATACCCACTTCTATCAAATTTCCAAAATTTCTTCATTATATGAATATACATTCCTTTTCTCCCAACCAGAACATACAGCCATTTTCAGCTGAGTGATGCTGAAACAGTTTAATATTTTTTGCTCCCATAAATGGAACTAAAATATCCCACATACCAACTCTGATCAGCTTTTCATTTACCCAAGGAAGTTGAGAGTGATTAGTTAATTTTAAGGATTTGTTGAAGATTGTTACCGACTTGTGTAAACCACTGCTCTAAATTTGTACTTAGTCAAAGAATGGACAGGAGCATCAGCAAAATTCTAAGTAGGGTGTGTAATGAAATGGAGTTTGCAGCATTATTGTTAATTTTTACACAATGGAGGGGAGATGGCTGAATGGGTTTGCATGGAGCAGGGGACTAAAATTGCTTTAAAAATGAACTACCCTACGGACAGAATCTATCACATCAGACACAGCTCCCTGGTCCTCCCAGAGGACTTTACATGATGAAGTTTAGGTTAATCAGATTTGCAGTGATGTTGGGTATATCAATTGATGTCTCACAGAGATTACAAGGTAAATAGGAGTAAAAATAGATAATTAAAACTTTAGAAAATGGCATAAGATGGAGTTGATATTGTTTTTGACACCTATCCAAATTCCCCTTCTGTTAACTTCAAGGTACGGGAATATCCAACTTTTTTTCATTCATTCATAGGATGTTGTTGTCACTGGCTAGGCCAGCGTTTATTGCCCATTCCTAGTTTCTCTTGATAAAGTAATGGTAGGTTGCCTTCTTGAACTGCTGCAGTCATTTGATAAAAGTCATTTAGGAATACTATTAGGAAGGAAATTTGAGGATTTTAACCCAGCGACACCAAAGGAATGGTGATATATTTCAAAGTCAGGTTGGTAAGTAGCTTGGAGGGGACCTTACAGGTGTTGTTGTTCCCATCTATTCGCTACCCTTGTCTTTCTGGATGGTGTTGGTCACCAGTTTGGAAAGTACTGTTTGTGGAGCCTTAGTGAATTTCTGCAATAGATCTTATACATGTTAGACACTGCTGCTACTGAGCATCTGTGTTGGAGGCATCGAATGTTTGTAGATGTGGTGCCAATCAAGCAACTGCATTGTCCTAGATGGTGTGACGTGTTTTTGAGTGTTGTTCAGAGTTGCCCTCTTCAAATCAAGTCAGGACTATTTCATCACACTCTTGGGTTTTGTCTGTTAGATGGTGGACAGGCTTTAGGGTGTCAGGAGGTGAGTTATTCACTGCAGCATTCCTAGCCTCTGACCTGCTCTTGTCAGCACAGCATTTATGTGGCTGGCCCAGTCATTTTCTGCACATGGTGTATAATGAGTGGCTAATTTAACAGTGGCCATTTTAAGCTGTCATCCAAAGATGATATTAAACGCAAATTTACTGCTGCAATGGAAACCACACAGGCATCACCTGGAGACAGTTCAGGAGTTAACTGGTACACTGAAGCTACATTTAAAAGCTAACTGAAGCATTACTTTGCCAATCACGAGAATACACTTCAGCCACAATGACCATAAGCACCAGCGGAGGCAATTGGAGTTTTGCCAGATCACTGGTCTTTCCAAAGGATTGGACATCATTGACACTGAATCTTTTCATTTACTTAAGTACTTGTGGTGCGTATGTTCAGTCTATTCCAACTGTGCTTATCCCATGGGTTAAAACACTTCTATATATTGTATAAATTAAGTTCTTTCAAAGTTCGCAGCAGTGAGAGCCAGGATGGTGGGTGGCTGTACTT